TAAGTCATCATTTACCCAGAATGCTTTGCAGTGTCAATAAAATGGCTCCGTCTGTGTGAATATATTTTTTAAAATGTATAAAAAACTAAACAGCCTACAGTATTGTTACAGACTTTATTTTACAGTTAAAATGTTTATCAAATAAAGTCTAATGTCACAAGTAATTGTGGACCACTTTAAGATGAATAAGTTCGAGGCGTTACCTGGMAGGATGGCTCTAGAATAAACCCTGGGTTTGCTTTTCATGGCTGCACAGTAGATAATAAAATACAATGTGCTTCCAACAAAAACTCCTGAAGTCTGTGCATGGACATAGTCAAGATCTGGGAAGAGAAACAGAAATTTGCTTTGGCTCTGAAACCATCACTGCTTTTTTAGACCAAAAAAAAGGGGTAAATAAATAAATTAAAAGAAATTTAAAAAAGAACAATAGCGATGACCAAAATGACATTTAATTTTTCATTATTTTTTTGCTCATTTGGGATTAACAGCAAGTTGAAGGTTCAAAACGAAGGAGCATTATCAAGCACGGAACACGTACCGTAGACACTGGCTTTGTAAAATATGCTGTCAGGRCACGATGAATGGTTCTTTATGTAGAGGATGGGCACAAAGGAGGATCCATACAACAGGCCAGATACAACAGCAAGCACGCAACCGCTGATGAAAAGGATACAAGACAGAGCGAAGAACTGAATGAACCATGAATTTTAAATCTCCTGAGACCTTGTTCAATTAGTATGATAATTTCAACATTTTTCACCAGCTGATAAACAGATCGACAGCATAAAGAGAATCACATATTTTTGGAAAGTTGGTATTAAACATCCTCTTCTGATACTATTGTTGCACCTCTAACATGGAGGGAAAAACTTCTTTGTAATAAAGTCATCTAACTATTTCGCCATTTTGACCTTAATAGATTTGTTGCATTTTGCTGCAGTTAGAATGGAGGAAAAACATTTTAATATATAACTGAGTCAGGAGGAAGCTGGAGTTTTACATCATTTTTTTTATTTGGAAGAAAAAACCCTGCTGTTTCAGATTTCTGTTTTATCAAGATCATAAAAACGACAAAGTTAATGGGTAAAAGTTATGCTCACATAATTCGCCTGTTCCTTGGTCCAATAGCATCTATCCAGTATTCAGAGGAATGTCGTCCATAACTTCCTGAAATGGTTCTCTGCGAAAGAATAAAAAAAATAATAATCCTGAAGGTGCGTGTGACATTCAATTAAAAAAAAAGTGAATCCATTTTTGGAAATTTGACATTGACAACATGTTGCAAAACAAATTTCACACCACTGAGATGAACAGTTGTTGAGATATTTGCACGTAAAGAAACAGGAAGTGATGTTAAAGGGGAATGTCTGCATGTAAACAGAGCATTGTTACAACAGCGAACAACACAGACTGCAGAAGAATCTGATGTTTCTTTACATTATTTTGAGTCACCATCAAACACAGGTGAAGAGTTAAAGTTTTAACGATACCATTTTAATAATAAAAAAAGACCAGAGAGTTTATTTTATTAACGAGTTCCCCTTTGATATCATTTCCTGTTCCACTTTGGCTGAGCCAAATCCAAAAGAATATGCTAGTTATGTGACAAAATATGTGAAAATCATGTGTATTACGCCAAGTTCCTTAAATAAAGATGTTTTCTAACGTTTTGTATTTGAAGAATATGCATGCCAAAAGGTACTTTAAAATGTTATTCAAATTTATGTGAACATAATGGACACATATTCAAAGTACCACCACAATAATAAGAAAGCACTTGTTTAAACTCATGCGTGTATTTGTAGCTTTAACATCAACACTTGAACTGAACTTGGCCAAGAATTCTAAAAGAATGTGCAGCAGAAACGCTTGAATAACTTGTTTCTCTTTACTAAAACAAGCTTTCAGCAGCATTGCCGATGGCGTACTCACTCTGTCGAGAAGTAAAGGAGTCGTTTCTGACTGYGAATGTCGACCCACATCGCTTTTCACAAAGAAAAAGATCAGGCCACTATAAAACAGATGAATTATTTAAAAAACGACAGCAATGCCACAGTTTGCCGAGGCAGACAAAACGTCAAGAGCAGGTTTGAAGAGCTTGCCTGATCAGACACAACCCAGCACCACAATAATTCAGTATCGGCTTGGAAACATCCTGAGGGTCGATCCCAAACCAGCCGAATCTGTTTGAGACAGTCACACAGTGTTAGATGGGTTTTATTGAAGTGTCTGAACGGTCTACCTAACAAGGAACAGCCTTCAATTTGTTCACATCAAAATTTCTGTCATTAAACTTGAGCATGAATAGTCCAGAAAAGTACGATTTCCCTTACCTTGAACTGGCCCAGCCCATCAACAAACTGGAAGATCCCCAGATTAAAATTCCAAGACCAAGGCCAATCGCTTTCACAATGGTAACAACCGTTATACTTCCTGGGGATAAAAAAATGTAAGAAACAAGCTCATGTTTTGGTGAACTGCTTTGCATTTTTGCCCTTCTCCATCTGGYGATGTGACCTTCTCTACGGCATCCACTCCTGCAGCTGAATGTTAAAYAAAAATTTTGCAAATAAAGTAAGTAAACATTTAAAAAGGTTTCAGTAAAGCCTGGAATGAATAAACTGTTTGCCTACAGCAAATAACATGCTAAATATCATTTGCTAAAATAGGTGGGTTCTCTCCAGAATACATTTTTGTTACAAAAAATAATCATGAATCATTTTACTCATGTGGGAGGAAATTCCCTTTTCTCCACACAGCCAGTGGTTTGACATATGTCCAAATAACTTATTTGGACATATTTATGTCTTTTAGGTCAATATATGTTTATTTTAAAGGTTGTAAAGGGCTTTTGGACTAACAAACAATTAGCAGTTACAAATATTTTAGAAAAAAAGTAGGGGGGGCTGCTGGGGGGTGGGGAGGCTCTACAACAARGGGGCAGTTGCCCCCCGCTGCCCCCTGTAGATCCGCCCCTGTTATTTTGAAGTCTTATTTGAAGAAAGACTTCAAAATAAAATAGTCAAATTTTAGATTAGAGATTAGATTTAGATGGACTTGCGACCTGTCCAGGGTGTACCCCRCCCCTCGCACTCTGACTGCTGGATATGGGCACCAGTGACCCACGCAACCCTGAAAAGGAAGAAGCGTGTACAGAAAATGGATGGATGGAAAGTTTGGATTATTATTTTTACCTGCAAATCTTTGAAACTGTAACACACCTTGAAATTTACAGTAAATTTGACCAAGTTATGCTCAAAGTTGCCCATTTTTCCACACAGAAAACTACATTTTTTTWAAAAAAAGGATGGACTGCAACAAAAGTACTTTGATGTGTAAAGCCCATCTTCTGTACCACGTGAGACTGAACTGCAGATAAACATCAAACAACACACTTCTGCTTGAAGTTCTATTTTTTTTTCAAAAGACAATACCTGTGGCCCAGATAAATCCTCCGAGCATCGCGATGGGGTGGAATTTGGGAGACTGAAACACAATTTCTCCGAGCAGAGACACAATCCATATGGACGCGCAGCTCACCCAGTGATAGAACATACCTGTAAATTAAATCACATTCATCATCAAGGAAACAAAAATAAAAAAATAAAACCTGCAAACCTGCAGGGATTTAAATGCAAACGGCTTACCATCCCCAGTTTCTATTCTTTTAACTGGAACAAAGGTGCTGCCATACAACACCACAGCAGCCATGTTTGCAGTCAAACCATAAGCAAAGTCAGTGACGTTGGTGGAGTTACTGAAAAAATCTAACTTTTTCTGTTGGCAAAGTTCACCACTTTCACCACAGTCCGTTGACTCTGTGGGAGTTTGATAAACACACATTAATAAACACACACCAGAACCAACATTTATCACTTAAAGACTGGTTGACCCACCTTCAGCGCTGCAGCAGCCCACCATCCATAATAAGGCAACAAATAAAACCAGAGGTGAGCTTTTTACCTGATGCATCGTATAAAATACCTTTTTATTTTCCTTCTGATGATAAACCAGTTCACAATGTTAAAAACGGCCACAGACCTCCGTTTGTCTGCAGTGGGGAGGACTGGGGAGCAGCCAGGTGCTGCCACTTATCCAATTACTGAAGGAGGTTTTTTTTATTTATTTTTTATTTATTTTTTTGCTGCAAAGAAATCAAGGCTAAAACTAATACTGAAAAACAAACAAATCTTATGAGCTTAATTTTTTTTAAATTTGCTAAAAGATTATTCTAATATATTTTTAAAGTTGTCCATTGGCTCTAATCTCTACACAGCAGACAGCAAAGACATTACAGTTCTTTATTTAAACTTGTTTTTGTTTGCAGGTCAGGAAATCCGCTCTCCAGGCTGTTTAACTCTGACTGCACTTTCCTAATGATGGAGGAAGTATTTGTTTCCTCGTGTTATTTAGTTTTTCCTTTCCTTTTGGTTATTTATTTATTTATTTATTTTTTTCAGTTCTGCTGTCCAGTGGGGGGAAAAAAACGAGGCTGGACCACCAGATGTCGCCTGAAACGTATGTGAATACTTTTTTTTATTGTTCCAATTGGAAAACAAAACCTTTGCTTTTAGCTGTGTGCATTCAAGAAAAATCTCATATCTTTAAAGTTTTTTTTTTTTWWAAATGATGACTGTGGGTCATATGAGGGCTTGTGTCTTATGCTATAAAACAAAAACAAAACTATTCATTTAGGTTTCAGACAACTTCCTGTGTTTTTAATGGGGCAGGAGTTTTGAGCCAAATGTTGGTCCTATCAAAACGCCAACTATAAGTATTTATTTATTTCTAGAACCTTTCACAATAAAAGAAAAATCTCAAACTGCTGCAAATCAATTCAATTCATTATTGACCCCATATGGAAATTATGTTGACTCGTTTAACTAAAGAGTTATTGTAGATGGTGATCAACATAACTTCTCAAAATGAAATAAATCAGTAATAATAATAATTATAGTGTTCACAACATCTAAAAAATTGAGTATTTTAATAACATAACGTTCATATTTCATCACATTAAAAAAACAATRAATCAGTCTGGGTGGAAGGATGCTGCATGTCCATTTCCGGGGCAGCTGTCTTTCTGCGCTCAAACTTTTCCCTCTGAAGAGTTTCGGAAGCTGTGCGCTCCTCCCCAGTTTCAGTTTGGTGAAGAAAAAAAAAAATCAACCCCAAAAAAAATGGCATAAGTTCCAATGGGGAAGTCTCGTGTTCGCTGGTTTTGGTTTCTTTTTCTGAAACTAAGCAACAACTTTCGGAGGTGTTCTCCTTTCCGAAGAAGCTTGATCATCATGGTTGCGTGTGTTGTCTACTTGTTTGTCGTGTTTTCACAAGTGGGACTGTCGCAGCGTCACCCGAGCAGCAGAGCTGATGAGGACGAGCAGCAGCGGCGCGCCCGCGGATCGCACAAGTTGGGGATGATGAACCGCGGCGCGCCAGACGCCGCTGCCGCCGCCGCCGACTCTCGGAACCGCGCGAGCTCTGTGGGTCCAACACGGGCCAACGTGGTGTACATAACTCTAAAATCTAAACGTCTGAAACCAGCTCACATACGAGGCACAATCCGACCTAAACTGAGGAAAAAAGCGCGGAGAAAAAAGTCCAAGCCGCGCGTTACGCACAAACTGGGCACGGCGGAGCATTACGCAGGCCAGAATCACTTTGGAGTTGAGACGTCCTGGAAACAAACTCCTCACGAAGATTATAAATCGCTGAATATAATCCCTAATGATGGAGCAGACTCTCAGATTAGTTCCATCAGAATTTACAGCCAAATGACACCCCCTTGGTTCAGCGCGCAGGACCTGAAAACGATGCGCTTTCTTGCTGATGCCAAAGTTTTGCGCGTGAGAAAAGTTACCCTTGGAGACGCTCTTCTGATATTTGAGGGTGAAGCCTCGGTCCCTCTGACCAACCAGAACCACTCCAACAAGAGCAGTGTTTGTGGAGGGCAGTGTGGAGTTATCCACAGCTCTGTGGACAACTCGGAGGTTTTTGCTTTCCATTTGGACAGAGTGCTCGGACTGAACAGGACTCTGCCGGTGGTCAGCAGAAAGTTCAGCTTTTTGCAAGGTAGGCTATTAAACAAGAGAGGAACTATTCTACTTTATCTATGGGATGAACTATTATCTTTGTGAACAAACTGATCTCAATGTGCTGAGATTTTTACTGATCATAAAATCTGTTACTATTCAACTTCAGACTCTTCTAACAAATGTTTCAAATATAAAAAGAGTTGGGACATTGTATGAAATGTGATTATTAGAATGAAATCATTTGGTAGAGTTCTGACAGATCCACAAACTGTTGTTAAACCCAGTAAATGTGCCATCCACAAGCTCTATCCTGCAAAGAAGAAGCCAGATGTGGACACTATCCACACACGTCACTGTCTCATCTTAGCTAAAGCTGATTAAAAATAGACTGAAGCGAAGTGGAAAAACTGGTCTGTGGGCGTATTAGAGCCACTATGCAGATGAATAAAAGGAGGAGCAAATCTCTGCCAAAAAATTTAAAAATTCTCAGATTAATTTTAGAAAATTTTGAGAAAAAAACAAGGAAATTCTCAGAGCTTTAAAAGTCTGAAATGGTCAAGAAAAAAAAAACCTGGAAATTCTCTTATGTAGAAAAGTTGTAATCTCATTTTTTTCTCGCAAATTTAAGAGCTAATTCATGG